CTGATCATTTCTAGACCGAGTTTCAGTTAAATCGGCCTATTATAACTTGTTTTTAAATTTGAAATAGTTTTTCAAAAGGGCGGCCGTGTCGGCCATATTGGATTTCTGATCGACCCGAAAAACAACAACACTTTGTCAGGACCATGAGTCGATCATTCCTACAAAGTTTCAGTTTAATCTGCCCATTAAAACTTGACTCTTAAGTTTGAAATAGTTTTTCAAAATGGCGGCTGTGTCAGGACCATGAATCGATCATTCCTACAAAGTATCAGTTTAATCAGCCTATTCGAACTTCACTTAAATTTGAAATAGTTTCAGTTCAACCGACCCAGCAGAACTTCGACTTTAAGTTTGAAGTAGTTTTTCAAAATGGCGGCCATATTGGATTTCTGATAGACCCGAAAAATAACACCACTTGGTCAGGGAGATGTCAGTAACCTTCCCATGAAATATAAATGAAATCTCATTTGCCAGTATTTCAGATTAAGTTGAAAATGTAAAATGTTAACGGACTACGGATGAAGACGGATAGCAATAGGTCACTTGAGCTAAAGCTCAGGTTACTAAAAAAACACCAAAACAAAACTGAAGTATCATTCACTTTTTTATTCACATTTCATTTCAATGCTTTATCGTTTTCAAAAAGCAAGAAAACAATTAAAATCATACACTTCCTGTGTCCAGCACTGTTACCATGGTAACAAACATCAATACATGTACATCACCCCCACTTACATCCACATTTATACACAATATTTATTTCACATTTTTGTACCACATCAATTCACACTGTATGCAAAGCATTTTGAATATGCAGATTTAGCATGAAATGATTTAGAAGGTAAATCTTCCAAACAAAAAAACAAAACAAAAATCATCATACCAATATTTTGTTCATGTTGGTCACTTGGACCTCTGTATTGTAAGCTATATTAATTCAAATGAGATCAAATTCATACCAGGGAGACATCAAATATTATGACCATGAAAAAACCCAACTTACACCATTCAAACCGATCTCTCACAAACTGACATTATTTTCTCATTACTATTTTACACACAGGAAATGTACCATTGATGAATTGAAGCATGATTTTTTTTTGTCTAACATACTGAAACCAGTTTTAAACAGGGAATAAGTTTGTATATTTTCTTCTAACATCCATGTTACTTTTTAACAAAGCAGGAAATTCAAACTTGACTACCAAGGTGAAAGGCTCAGAAAATTACAATAGAATTATCCATAGGAAAAATTATTCCTCAAATTTTCAGTGTTAACATTTACTTGATTTACAAATCCTAGTCTCTTTGCAAATTGTTGGTGATGTCCTATACGATACTTATCATCTTAAGTACCGGTAATATACAAATAAATCTGTGTCCTAACTCAACTCTAATACAAGGTTAGTTATATTGAATCATGTGGCCAAGCTGGTCCACCACTTAATGGCTGTACTTGATTTCTTTATATGGTGAAAATGTTACATAAATGTTCTTGTCATAAATTGAGCACTGGGTCATTCCTACAGGAGGCAATTTGGAAATGAGTAACCTCCCTTTTATACAAATATTTCACATTTGTGTTCTTGTTATAGGCAAAACAACTGCAATTATTTTCAACCAGCTCTTCCGTAACATATATTTAGGATATGTATATTATTACAAGTCAACAAATATAAAGGTAATGCTTATAACAGAATTTGTAACTTCTGGTTTTGTTATTTAAGTGTTTTACTCTATCTAGACAACTTACTGACAGCTGAATAAGATTTATCAGGTCGGTGACTATATCAAATGCAAATAAATATCTACAGCCGTTGTTACTTTTTAAAACCAACTTGTGGCTTTATGAAGCTATTATAAAATCTTGCAAAAAACTTGACAACATAAAGAGTCCTTCAAAGCTCGACAAGATGTATTTGATACAAATATAAACCCATTAATCGAAACATCACTCTTTATACATGTGCAAGGGCTTCAGGCATAGCAAGAGATCCGACATAGGGACAGTTTAGTTGCCAATAAAATGAATTGACAGTGTTTGAAATCTGCACTCGTGCTGCTATAAATGGCAATCATCTGAAGCCTTAACTTACCATTTCATCTCAGGATTACACAGCAGTAATTAAGACAAGATTGTGCAGAAAAAAACATGTACATAATCATCAATTAATGTATGAGCTCCGGTCATTCTTACCAAAATCTCTCTATTTTAACATTCCTTTAGAATACTCCATATAAGGATCTGAGGGTTTTTCTGTTCTGACTTGTGTCTGGTGATGACAAAAAGTTTCACTTGAACACATGTTGTTTTACCATGCAGTCTTATTTCACTGTCGAAGAGGAACAGTAAATTAGCTTCTGATTTTATTTAGACCGAGTTTTAAACTTGATGATTTTATCCTGTCAGCATACATTCATACTTCTTGTGTTCAATCATTGGCAACATGGTCACATGGTGGGACAGTTTCAGTACATATGGACAGTGTATTCTTTGAACCCAAAGAGGAAAGGGATTGGAAATGACACTTAAACACCCACTTTCCCTTAGTCACAAATGCCCACTGGGCCAACAATAAGTAAAAGACAGTACAATACAGACAAACATTATTGGTGATCTCCAATTACTGTTCATGAGGATTGTGAAGGCAACAAAATGTCTGACCACACAAATAAGTTGTTTTCAGACAAGCTGTCTCGGTTGTGCTGAATTGTGCAATGTGGAATTTCAATATCTCTATTTTACATGTTCTGAGAGAAACTTTTTACATCAGACAGAAAATGATCTAAAATGACAAAAAGGCAAAAAAACTCAAGCTGATCATGCTTTACCATCTATACCATAACGATACTCATTACTTACAACATTACACATGCAAAATCATACACTTTTGAGCAATCTTCTAATATAACAATATTTTGACTTGCGGAATGAACAATGTTTTAGAATTGAAGCATGATATAATACAGCTTCTGCTCGTACAAGCGTGTCCGTCCTCCAAATCATCATCTTAGTCTCATTTTTTTAAAACCGGATTAAAACCTTTGAAAGCATGCGCAAGACAATATTCTCTTCAAAAGATACTTATCGTGAATAAAAAAAAATTATAATATATATATATATATTTACCTATTAATAATATAAAGAGTTTAAATACCATTATACCAAATACATAATATTTAATTATTTTCAAATTGATGGTTTGTTAAAATTCCATTGCTTTAGTATAAACAAGAGGCCCAGAGGGCCTGTATCGCTCACCTGGAAATGTTAGCAAAATTAAAGTTTGAATATTATGGTGTCACTGGAAGTGTATATGTATTACATGGTAAGTCAGGGGTTATAGTTTTCTACCACAATACGCTATGTTATTCCACTCTCAGATCATTGTATAAACATGCAGACTGTTAGATAAATTTGAGTTAAATACCACACGTGGTATATGACTACACGAGTTTTGATTGGTCGAGAAGATGAACTTTGACCGGGACGACTTTTTCCACACACTTTTTGCCACAATCTGTTTTGTTTACGTCGTCTGCTGTCAACATTCGACAAATGTTGTGAGGTTATGCGGAAAAGGGGGTTATTAAGGCATTATTAAAAGAACATGATACTTAAAAGATTTGATCGCTAGTTTCAGGCAAAATTGCTACAGACGCTCAATATCGTTTCGACGTCACACCGATGCGTGTCCAGGTTGTGAAACCAAAACAAGATCTGTCACAGTGTCGGAAAATATTTCGTTCTCCCAATGTCCCGTTATCGCTATTTGGATGATATGACTATGGCTGAACATTAATTTTGACAATTATTAGATTTGTAAAAATAAAAATTTGAAAATAATGAGTGACTTTTTACATATGGGTCATATCACTACACCAGCCTTGTCAACAAACACATGTGTGTACTTTATTTCCGACTGATCATGAGATTGTGGTAGAAACAGATCACACGACTTTTGGTTGTGGAGTATGGTATTTATTTCACTCTTGTTAGTTAATTTTCAAAAGTTACAAAAAGACACTCGCTAAAGTTCGTGTCTTTTTGAAAATTAACTAACACGAGTGAAATAAATACCATATTCAACAACCCCTCGTTGTTTAGTCTCTATACATGCGATTGGACAAAATTTGGTCATTCCTAAAATAAAAGGAGGATTTCGAAGAATTTGCTATGTTTCCCCTATTGGGCCCCACCCGTCTGTCCCCAGGGGGGGGGGGGGGGGGGGGGTGGTCAGACCCATCGTTGATACAATATCAAATCCCCTTCAACCAAGGATGCTTTAGACCAAATATGGACATAATCCTGTCATTCTTACAGGAGAAGGATTTAAAAGCTATTTTTCCTCTTTGGCCCTGCCTTTCTGCCAAAAGGGGGTTCAGACCCACAGTTTATGCAAAATTGCTTCCCCTTCACCCAAGGATGCTTTATACCAAATCCTGTCATTCCTACAGAAGAAGTACGATTTGGAAGAATTTGCCATGTTTCCCCTATTGGGCCCCACTCCTCAGCCCCAGGGGGGCCACACTCACCGTTTATACAAAATTCAGTCCCTTTTGTCCAAGGATGCTCCAGACCAAATTGGGATAAAATCCCTTAATCCTTATGGTAGAAGACGGATTTTAAAGATTTTACCTCCATTTCCCCTATTGGGCCCCGCCCATCTGCCCCGAGGAGGGCTACACCTACCATTTATATAAAATTTAGTCCCCTTGGCCTAAGGATGCTCAAGACCAAATTTAGTCAAAATCTACTAGGCCATTCAGGAAAAGTTGACGGACGGATGGACGACGGATGATGCGGTATGGCATAAGCTCACCATGGTACTTTGGACCAGGTGAGCTAAAAATGTATTGATAATTTTGCATGTCCTGGTGGTCAAACTTCAACTCCCTCTCATCAATCCTCCCAATGAAAAATGATAACAACCTTTTCTGTAGCAAAACCTTCAGACTGATCACCTGGGATTTCCTAATGCATGGCTTTTTATCCCCCCCCCCCCCCCCCCCCATCTTTTGTATTCTTAATCCCACATTATCATGTGCATGCAACAATATATATTCTCAATAACCAATTTCATCATTTCTAAGTCCTATGTACCAATTTTACCATTATTGATGCCTAACTGTGACTGCTGAAGAGCATGTAAGTGGGACCACATTATTCCGAATATTTTTATTTTTAAAATCTTTTGGAATAATCAAGTTTTTAAAATTGATTTTTTTTATCCATTAAAGAGAACTGCATTCCTAAGAGATGGTGTCTGGGAAGTGATTTTTTTCAGATTGTCAAGAGCTAGCAATGAGCTAATTCCACTGTTATGATCATCTGATATGGTATATGTTCTGGTGCCCACTGATATGTGAATAGCTCATTAACCAGCATTTATATCAGTCATTAATGAATCGCATAGCAAAGTCAAGGATACAACTGTTCAAAACTATTTTTTTTATCTCAAAAGGTGTTTGCATCTTAAAAACTTCAATTCCAAAATCATACTTTTAAAAACAACTATGAATAATGTAATTCAATTATCAGTTTCTTTTCTACAGAAAGTCATTGTGAAACTTAAAAGTTTTCGTAAAGTATATTTTTTTGCAAATATCTTATATAGAAAAAGAATGAAAACTTGTTGTATGCAAACTATGTTTTGAACAGCTGAGCCTTTGTATGGGGAGCCTTGCACTGCAATGGTCTACAGTCATCAACTATTGCACATTAATCGCAAGCCGCGTCTATCCCTGCACTGCCAGCTGTGATGGTCTTCCCTCTCTGCGACACTCAAACACTGATGAGCCTTGTTTAGTCCTGATCTGCCAGCTGTGATGGTGGTCAACGTCTGCGACTCTTGAACACCGATTATGATGAGCCTTGTGAGCCCTGCACTAAGCCACAGTGTTCTTTACTGTCTGTGACTGTTGCCATTGATGCCTAGGTATTCAGGCAGTTTGAACTCCCTTCGTATGTAGAAGAGTATGTACGCTTTACACTTGGCCACCACTTCAGGGTCACATGGGGTCACTGTGCTGTCATTGAAGTGATACCACTGGCCTGAAATAAAAGTTTTGACATTTGACCTAAAAGTGACAGTCACAATCATGATATTTTAGTGCACTGCACACTTTCTGATATATCATAATTTTAATGGTGTAAAAGTTATACCTTGTACAGAACTTCGCTAGACATTTTGCACTTATTTGACCTAGACGTGAAGGTCACAGTGCACTGCATATCTCCTGGCGTGATGCAGGTATACTTCAAGTTTCATCAAGATATTTTTACAGTAGAAAATGTACAGCAAGGACAAGATTATATCAAAGAACAAGAAATACCGGGACTGATATGTCACCCGCACATCTTTCAATCACTTTAAAGAGTCGAGTCATATACGTAAACATAACACGATAATCTATTTTTTTTCGATTTTATATGCATTTTTTATTTTGTCATTAGTGTTCAGCTTCTTCCTTTTTTGGACTACAAGTAGATGTAGATGTGTCTCACCTTCATGCATGGCGTAAGCTGTGTAATGACCAGATCCAGCTCTGAAATTGATTAAAACAAATAATAGTATCATTAGTGTCCAGAGGCAAACACAATGCATAGGCATCATAAAAACAAACAATCCCCATTTGTGATGTTTTGATTTTAATGAAAAGCTTGTGGAGGTATTTGCTTGTGGTTAAATGTCCACACAACAGCTCGAATCATATTAGACGAGCCAGTAGTTGTAAAACAAGACAGAAACTGTTATTGAATTTTAATGGTTTTCAAACCAGCGAGATAATAAACTTAGTAAAGTAAAAGCTTGGATCATGCAAGACAGGCCAGTAACTTAATGAATGGTAAGGTATCTCAAAATAGTGAAATAAAATACTTCACAACTATCATCAGCTATGTAAGAAGTGGGGAACAATGACTACATACCCTGATCCATGGTGTACGATGACAGCAGCAAGGTCGTACTGGCTGCTTCCTCCGTAACTACCCCTGGTCTCATGCTGCAAACAATCAACACACCACGTTTTATAAGATTTATTATCAAATTCACAGCACTTTATATTTAGGGACAAATTTCATTTTATTTTTTCAAGTTGTTGATTTCACAGAATATTTATCAAAAAGTTATAATCAAAACTGTTATACAACATTTCATATTAAGGTAACACTGCAAACAGCTGGATCTAATTCGATTGAAAGCATGCCTTTGTAAAAACAAGGGAATGGAATGATCCATACTTTGGTAGAATATCTCTATCCAACATCATTACACTACAAATATTTCTTTTTTAATAGTTTAGAAACTTTGCTAGATTTTTTAACAACAACTTGAATTGGCATGAATGACTAAGGGATTACATTGAAATTTGTTTCAAATGACATCAAGTGTATTCATTTAATTCCAAGTGAGTGCAGTTTTTATGTTGGGGAAGTTGGTATTACAGGTGTTAGTATGGAAGACTCATATCAAAGAATTAATCTTGAAATACAACAAAACAAGTAAAGCCTACCAGATTGTCCAGGACATATCTGTTCATATTGAGCTCTCGCAGTGGAAATTCTATGAATGTTTCCAATTTCATACGAAAGAAGGATTGCCATCTAAAACGCTTGATGTGTAAACATAGAACCTGAAAAAGCAAAGTCGCATCAGCTACAAAGACAACATGCCAGAACCTTGAAAAGTATATTACTCAAGAAACATTCAGTCATTTGCTATTATTCTGATCATCCTACAAAATTTGCAATATCACATGTTCCAAGCTGTCAGATTGTGATAGTGTGCACACGATACTGTTTCATGCATAATTAAAGCTTGAGATTAGCACACTTTGACCAAAAATTGTTAACTGATCTGTTCTTTCCGTTTACAATGTATAACATAATTTCCAGCCTTACATTAGGCAACCGTCGTATCCAGAATTTCTTTGTTGATCTTTGTCTCTTTTTACAATTACTGCACATGTAAAGTTCTGATTCCTCCAACTCCTCCACTTCTGTAAAACTTGTTAAGCAGTCTTAAAAAATAAAAGCAAAAGAGAACTCTTAATCTCCAGTTCATGTACATTTACTTAGTTTGTAATACAAATAGCTTACATGTTTACTAAAAACAGGCTGGTTTACTAGATTTACAAGAAGCATTAGGCTTTTGAATATATTTAATGTGCATTTGGTACATCAACAAAGACTATGCTGTTAAGCATATTGGGAGGGAACTTGATCCCTTCATCTCTTGTACTAACTTCTTCCCAACTATATACAAATTTTAAAGTAACTATTTGTGATTTGGAATCTTGAGACATTGACCAAAATATACAAAATGTGACATAGTGTACCTGATAACCGGCATACTTGCTGCTCCCCATCTTTTGATTTACCTCCTCGGGTAGCAAACTGGGCTGGTATATCTAGTGATAGATCTGTACATAAAACACAAAAATATGTCATTATATGAATTAATTTAAAAAAGAAAACCAGTTACAACAAAACCAAGGAAGTTAACATTCAATATGTATCAATTATACTATATTTGATAGTAATTTTAACATCCATAAAAATTAGATTTAAACAGTTACATAATCATGCCACCTAAAGCAAAAAAAAAATCACAAAATTTTCTCTAGTTAGCAGCATGGGTGCAGCTAACCAGTGACACAATTCTAAGTCACAGAAGAGGCAGTCAAAAGGTGAAGACAACGACCATTCTATCTAGTGATTTTCCTTTTCTTTGAAAAATTTAGAATAACTACTAAAAACATTATTTTGTCATTGGTTGTCAAAGCGACAGATTCTTAATTAACACAATATATTTAAGCAGATGGGCTATGATTGGTGTCCATCAGAATCACTGATTCCTGCTTTGAAGATCGTTTAAACTGGGCTATGGGACCGTAGGGATATCTGTGGGAATCATTGAAGATGATTCTAGAGTTATCTCCCTTCATCAGCATTGAGATTTGGATGCCATTATCTTGAAAAAGCTGAATTTGAATTATCTTCAACTCTATGCACTTCAAGATTATTTATAACTTATAGAAAAGTTTAAAATGTCAAAATATCAAACTTTAAGAAATTGGCAACAGACGAGCAAGCTGAGCAACCAATGTAAAAGTAAAACAATCACAAATGAAACTTACCTAGAAATGGGTCATGCTTTTTAGATTCCACTCCACACACAAGACAGTTGACTTCATTCTGGAGCAATCCCCCAAATATTGCAGTGACAATGGTACTCTTGCCCTTGGGTCCTATGAAGGGACTGTTGTTGTTAGGGTAGGGTAGAAGTGTGAGCAGCTCGGTGTGTAGCCGGTCCAGGAGGTAACGCATAAACTCGTGGGCATCTTGTTGCTGATAACCCCTGTAACATTTAACACAAATTACCATCAGCATCTACCTACTCCGACAATACAACACTGGCTTCATAACAAGGTTAGCTAGGTTTTTACATGCATAGGTATAGAGTTATAAATTATTCATGAAACTTGCAATTATGTAAATACAAAGAATATAAGTGAATTATTTTCTGCAAGGGGACCATTTTTATAAAAACAAGAGGCACATGGGATCTTAACAGTCACCTGAGTTATGTAAAAACTGATGTTATCGATGTTGCCAAATGAAAAAGAAATCATTTTGTAACAAAGGTAACTTGAACTACACATGTATTATATAATTGCAAAAGTAGTGTGAAGTGTCCCTTTAATTCAGTGGTAGAGCGTTAGCCTCCGAAACCTGGGTTCGTGGGTTTGATCCCAGCTGGAGCACCTCATCTTTCCACTTCTTTCTTTCCTATTATGGCAGAACGAGCTGTTGTTTCATAGTTATAATGTAAATAAACTTTGAATGATTTCCAGTAGAAAATGAACAAAATATACCCAAAAGTATCTTTTTCCTATATAAACTATTGAAAATTTCGCCCCCTCTCCAGAGGCAAACGTGAAGCTCGAGGGTCATGAAATTCACAATTCAGATAAAGTACCTCAAGACCCTTCCATCTATGAAGAGTATTGTTTCGAGTATATGTGGGTCTGGAGAAGATTTTTTTTTAAATTTAAGCCAATTTGACCACTTTTAGCCAAGCCCCTCGGAGCCCCTGGGGGTGGGAACCACATAATTCACACTTTTGGTGCATATATGACCAAGGAAGGTTCCTGAGAAATCTTTTGAAATCTGATCAGCGGTCTCAGAGAAGAAGTTGAAAATGTTAATTGTTAATGGACGGACGAAGGACAAAAGGCGATTAGAACAGGTCGCTACCTAAACAAGAGGCCCAGAGAGTTAATTTTGTTTTTAACATGAACAGAAATATTATTCGAAGTGACAAAAAAACCCAGTAAAACCACCTTATTCAATATCTAGCATACAGATTTCAGACTAAAAAGTATTTGAAACTAGAACCTCTGATTCTAAACAAGGAAAATGAAGAAATTTTAGCACACTGACTCCTTTGAGCCCCACCCTACAGCCCTTGGGGGTAGGGCTGGCACAAAATTTTCAAAGTATCAAACTGTCAACTCAAGGTTATAATTCCAATCAAGTTATTAACATGTAATATTCAAAGTATCATTTGCCATTATAAACCATAATAAATTCTGCCCCCCCC